CTTTGATTGTGAGCTTATTGCTTCACCTTAATTTTGAAAGTCTTCTTGACCTAAGTTGGGATGTTTTCTTCCAGAGAGGTTTTGTTTCTTTTTCTGCTCATAGCCAGAAAATTTGAAGCCAGACTTCAAATTAATTCAAAATGAGCACCTCCTATGTATGGCTTTTCCACTTGGTAGCTAGTTTAGGACTCTGTATCTGGATTCCAGTTGTTATAGACACATGTTCTCCTATCTGCTTGCTGATCAGCCTGGGCTAAGCGTTTGTGTGTATGTGATAGTAGTGGGAATTCCTTAGGATATCCTCAATCTCTTGGGGACCAGTAATGCCTCATAGAGCATTCTCATGCAGATTATAGCTGTTTGGCAGGAGGGTCCCTCAAAGAACCTTACTAGCCATACTTCTAGAAAATGTCTGATATTCTTTACTAGTATCCTTCAATTCTTAATTGACCAAAGATTTTTAAATTGGATATGGATGTTAAACTTTAGATCAGGTATCTTTTTGGCATCTGTAAAGACAATGACAGATTTTTCTTCTCTAAGCTGTTTATTAAGAATTGTTCTATCTCCTAGATTCATTGCTTGCTCTAAAACTGGAACTAAGCTCTTTAAACATTTTTCCTTTGCCAGCTGGCACGGTGTTAAGCTATGTCAGTAGAGGGTGCTGGTAAGAATTTTCCTTCCTTGTTCTTGCTTGCTTGCTTGGCTGGCACTTGCAATACACATAGCTTCTCTGGCACCCCCTATCCTTTGCCTGGCTCCTGCAGTATGGGCAATTTGTCCAGTACCCAGCAGCTTCCCCAGGCCCACCTTCAGACTGTTTTGTAGCAGAGTGGCTTCTGCAAGATACCTACCCATGAACAGCTTTCTCTGGCACCCTAGCAGGTGGACTTTCAGCAAGTTCCAAAGGGTGGATTACCAGCATGTTTCACTGGCACAGTACCATAGCAAATTCTCTAACAGTCATTAAGCCAGGGTCTTTTCCGCTATAACAAGGTCTAGATCTCAGCCTGGAGCTGGGATCAGCAGGTGTGTATGTGTTCTTTGGGGAGTCTATCTTAGCCCTAGGGGTAGTTAACTACTTCTTTATCTGATATCCCTACAATATTTAAGAGTTCTCTTTATCTTCTACTAGTTAAATCCCTTATCTCAAACCCACCACAGTTAATAATTATTGAACATTACATGGCCAAATTACTATGTAGTTTCTATTTTCTGACTGAACCCTAATACAATTTTCATCTATTTTTAAATTTATTGTGAATTAAAAGAAAAAAAATCTCCCAGTTTGTGGCCTACCTTGGTGAATGTTCCATGTGCATTTTGAAATAAATGTGTACTCTGCCATGGTTTGATGTAATTCTAAATATCAATTAGGTCAGATTGGTTGATAATATTGTTCAAGTCCTCTTTATCATTACTGATTTTCAAAATCTACCCATTTATCAAATACTGAGAAGGAAATGTTGAAATCCAGCTATAATTGTGGATTTGTCTATTTCTCTTTTCCGTCTTGTCAGTTTTTAGTTCATGTAATTTTAAGCTTTGTTGCTGTATCTTCTTGATGAATTAATTTATATTATGAAGTGTCCCTCTTTATCTCTTGTCCTGAAGATGGGCCAAATTCCTTTTCCTGAACTCAACTTTATCTGGTATTAGTGTAGATATTCCAGCTTTATTCTGTTTGTATATCTTTTTCCATCATTTTACTTTGAACTTATCTGTGTCTTTATGTTGATGATGCCTTTTTTCTTCTGTAGTCAGTAGTAAATAATTAGGCCTTGCTTTTGTATTTATTTTTAATCATAGTGTTTAGACCATTTACAATTAATTTAATTTTTGATATATTGTTTTCTATTTGTCCAATCTACATTTTGTTTATTTTTCTTTTTGTCTTCTTTTGGACTAATTTGTGGTATTCCATTTTTTAAAAAATTAAAAAAAAATTTTTTTTAACGTTTATTCATTTTTGAGAGACAAAGAAAGACAGAGCATGAGTGGGGAAGGGGCAGAGAGAGGGAGACACAGAACCTGAAGCAGGCTCCAGGCTCCTAGCTGTCAGCACAGAACCTGACATGGGGCTCAAACTCATGAACCATGAGATCATGATCTGAGCTGAAGTTGGACGCTCAACCAACTGAGCCACCCAGGCGCCCATGTGGTATTCCATTTTAATTTCTCTGCTGGCTACTTAGCTATGCTTATTTGTTTTATTATTTTAGCTTTTGTTCTAAGTTTTACCATATGAATCTTTAATTTATCACAATCTACCTCCAAGTACTATCATACTACAACACATATAATGTAAGATATACAGTGGAACCTTGAACAATGCAGGGTTAGAGGTGACAACCCCCTTCTTCTCTGGTACTCTGTTAAATAATTTCCACAAATTGGGTCTTTTTGTTAACCATAGTATCTTTTGCAACTCATATAGTACCTTTCTCTCATGTGGTAGGTGCTCAATAAAATATTTTTATGAGAACATGGAGTTATACATTTTATTCTTTTATATTTAAAATTCCCTTTGGGGACATCTGGCTGGCTCAGTCAGCAGAGCACGTGACTCTTGATCTCTGGGTTGTGAGTTCAAGCCCGATATTGGGAGTAGAGCTTACTTAAAATAAAATTCCCTTTGAATCTGAGTTTAATTCCTTTTTCCTCCCTAACATCTTCTCTCTGGTTTAAAAATCTTTGCTATTTTTATTTTGCCGTATTTATTTTATTGATCATTGCGAAGAACCAGCCCTTTCCTTTTTTGATCTGTTTTGTGTTTCTGGATTTAACTCTAAAACTCAGTAAGCTAACCTATAAAATTATAATGGCAATTTACTATTTAGGTACTAAAGTTAAATTCTGCTACTTATACTGTAATATCTTTTTTATGATATTACATAAATATCATGGTAATCTGGTGGAGGCCAATAAGACCAATGCTGTACTTCTCTGGGGAATTAGAGTTCTGTCTTTAAGAGAGTGATGACTCATACTATCAGTCAGGATGTACAGGTAATCAGAATTGTGAGAAGGGTCCTTATATAGGCCATGCTTTTCCATTAGTGGGAAGGGGGCACAATTTTGCCCCCCCAAGGGCTTTTGGTAATGTCTAGAGATTTAGGTTGTTACAACTAGGAATGGAATACTACTGGCATGTAGTTGGTACTAGCCAGAGATGCTGCTAAACATCCCACAATGCACAGGTCAGCTTCCCGTAACAAAGAATTACCTGGCTCAAAATGTCAACAGTGCCAAGACTGAATGCCCTTAACTAGGCAAGCAAGAAAACTATCCTTTGTCCTCTGTGCTCAGGCCTGAACTGAAGAGTGAACTGTCTAGGAGCTATTCCTTGGTTAAGATCAGTTTAAGAGTGGCCTCTGCCACAGGGAGGTGACATCTCTGTAGCAAAACAAAACAATGCTGAAGACTACCCTTATTTTATGTTTCTTCTTTTTCTTCGTCGTCCTTTTTTTTTTTTTTTTAATTAGGCCTTCACGCCCAGGATGGAGCCCAACATGGGACTTGAACTCACAATCTTGAGATCAAGACCTGAGCTCAGATCAAGAGTTGGACGCTTAACCCACTGAGCCACTCAGGTTCCCCTTATTTTATGTTTCTAATACTCATTCAGTTTTTTCTATTAGAAAAGTATTTTTAAATATATATCTAGGGGCGCCTGGGTGGCGCAGTCGGTTAAGCGTCCGACTTCAGCCAGGTCACGATCTTGCGGTCCGTGAGTTCGAGCCCCGCGTCGGGCTCTGGGCTGATGGCTCAGAGCCTGGGGCCTGTTTCCGATTCTGTGTCTCCCTCTCTCTCTGCCCCTCCCCCGTTCATGCTCTGTCTCTCTCTGTCCGAAAAATAAATAAACGTTGAAAAAAAAATTAAAAAAAATATATATATCTAAACAAATACCCTAAATAAGTTATAAATCTATAAATCAAAATAAATACCCTAAACCATTTATAATGTTCAAGATGAAGTTGGACTGCTAAAGATTCAAATTTAGTCTCTTCTCAGCTATGTAGCAAAGTATTAAGAAAAAGTTACATCCTTCTACTTTGAATTTTTTTTTTTTCAACGTTTATTTATTTTTGGGACAGAGAGAGACAGAGCATGAACGGGGGAGGGGCAGAGAGAGAGGGAGACACAGAATCGGAAACAGGCTCCAGACTCTGAGCCATCAGCCCAGAGCCCGACGCGGAGCTCGAACTCACGGACCGGACCGCGAGATCGTGACCTGGCTGAAGTCGGACGCTTAACCGACTGTGCCACCCAGGCGCCCCCATCCTTCTACTTTGAGGTCAGGTGGTCGTGATCAGCAAGGAGTGAAGAATTCCAAGGACAAAATGAATTCTCAGAAAATACGGCTGCAAATCCATCCACTCTTCCCAATAGTAGAATCTTCAAGTATCAAACCTGGAAGGTCTGGGATTATTCACTTAAGAGTGGTATATAATCAGTCACACAGAGTCTCTCAAACTGCAGGCTGAAAATGCAAAACTCCTGATAACAATGTCAAGTGTCTATAGTATTTTTTTCTGTTTAAGTAGTATTGAAGTGTGTATAATTGGTAAAGGGCTAAAATTGACAAACTTCACGCAAGAAATTTCTCACTTCACTAACTTATTCATCATTTGCTGAATAACAATGAGCTTTCCGTCAGTAGTCAAGAGCTGACAATCTGGCTGGTAGGACACAACACATAATTACAAAACTTAAACAGTGAAAATAAGTTTCAAAGACCAAATGAGCAATACCCCCCAAAGTGTACTAGTTTTAGAATAAAGCAAAGAACATTCTAAGCCAAAGGAATCAGGAAAACCTTCACAGAGAAAAAACTTTTGAAATATGAATAGGATTTGGAAAAACAAACAAGAAAAGGGATTTCTGATAGTTTAGTGAGAGCTAAACTGAAAAGGTCTGAATATAAAAGAGCAAGGGTCTTAGGGTGCAAAGATACGGCTTTTTTTTTTTTTTTTTTTTTACTCATCCTTTGAAATTACCTGATTATCCACAGCTTTGAATTCTTCAACTGCTTTTTGTTTTTGTCTTACATCTTCAGCTTCTCTCCTTTGAATGGGACAGGTAGAGTAAATGAGAGGAATATATTCCAAGGCCCTCTAATAGTTTGGGAAATGATTAATTTTCGTGATAACAACCTCACAAATAAACAATTCGAATCTGAAAATTTCTCTAGCAGGAAACTGAATAAATGTAATTGGCATACACATTCAAGCAGACGGGTAAACTTTTTTTCCTGGCTAACATAGCTTGGCATATTAGTGACTGGATAGTTTTTCTACTGCAACAGAAATTACTATATGTTAAGGCTTTTGCAAATTCCTGTTAATTCTGGGCACACTCAGGTTCTACCTCTAATTTCTTCTGAGTACATTTTCATGTAATCTAATAGAATAAGCAGTTTATCCCCTTTCCTAGAACTCTGGAGTGCTCTACCATTCCTCTCACTCTATTTAAATCCTGCCGTGTCCTCCTCTCCATAGCCCCTGACTTTACGAACGACATAACCATTTGCTCAAACAGAAAAAAATACAGTCTTGTTTTTGCAAAACACAACTTTTCACAAAAAGCAGAGTTCGTACATTTGGGCCTTTTGTGTTTGTTAATGTATGATAGGTTTCCTCTGAAGAATTCACAGTAATCCAGAGAAGATTCTTTAAGGTTGAGTGGTCCCGTCTAATAATGTTTTCCTTAAATAGTGTGCCGAAGACAACTACGTGCACTCAGTAATATTTACCGACATAACTAGGGCACAATGGGTTTTATTCTCGCTAGAGAGGGCGTCTGGTGAAGACTCCCCATTCAATACCCCTGAGTGGCCCGCATGGGATCTGCTCTACTTTCTGGACCTGGGGCATTAGCCAAACGAGCCCAGGGCACCAGAGTCCCGTGGATACCCTCACCTGGCCTAAGGGGTGTCCTCTGTGCCAAGGCGGCAGGCGGCCTCGAACTCCCACCTGCTCACTGCCAAACACGCGCCAGCCACGACGGAAGGCGGCAATACCCCAAGCGACCGGGAGCTCGTCCCCAAGCGCATCTCGCGACGGGCGGCCTCTCGGCGGCGCCTCACGCCCCACCCCCTCCAGTCCTTATCGCTGTCCCAACTCGCGGGGTCCAGAGAGTCCGGAGGAGGCAGGGGGTACAGCCGACACCACAACCTCCCAGCTGCAAGCCAAGAGAACTCGCTTCCACCTCCAAGTCCGGGGAATCCCCAACGACGTCGACTACAACGCCGAACTCGCCATCCCAGCCTTCCGAAGACTTCACAGCCCCTCACCAGGCACCCGTTGAAGGCGGCTCTTCGGCCCTCTCGCGAGAGAGTGCCTGGTGGTACCTCCTTCCTCAGCTGTCTTTCTCTCCCCGCCCCCAAAGTGTTGCGCGGCTTCCTCCGGAGGGCGGGAGCCTCGGACGTGGCGGGGCCGGGCCAGCCTGGCTGCCGGGCCTGGGGCGCTCTGCTTGGCCGCTCGGCTCACTTGGCCGCTTGGCTGGCCCTCCGCACCCGCCGTCCAGCCCCCGGCCGGTCCCCTGCCTTTCCAGGTAGACTGGCCCCGGCCCGAGTAACGGCGGGGTGGAGCCGCGGGCCAGGTGGGAGGAGCAGTGAGCCCGGGCTGGTGGGCGCCACACCTGCGCGGGGCCGGGGCGGGAAGGTGCGCACGCGCGTTGCCGGCCTGGAGGGCGGTGGCTCCTGCGACGCTGCGCAGCCGAGCCGGCAGGCTGGGCGCGCTCGCTCGCGGTGGCGTAATCTCTCAGCCTTTCTGCGTCTCCTTTCCTCCGCCTCAGTTTGGGGCGGGTCCGGAGAATGGCTTCGGAGATGGAGTCGTCTCTCGAGGCAAGCTTCACGTCCAGCGGTGCGGTGTCAGGGGCTTCAGTATTTCTGGCTCCGGCTCGCTCCCGTATCTTCAAGATAATCGTGATCGGTGACTCCAATGTGGGCAAGACGTGCCTGACCTACCGCTTCTGCGCCGGCCGCTTCCCGGACCGCACCGAGGCTACTATCGGGGTGGATTTCCGAGAACGAGCGGTGGAGATTGATGGGGAGCGCATCAAGGTGAGCGGATGGGGGGACTGTCATGAAGGAAGGACGCCCTGGGGTGACAGTTCCCAACCCCACTGTGGGTTAATCGCTGGCCGTGTGCGAGGTGTGCGCTCCGTTTTTTCTCAAGCCGATGTAGAGATTGGAGTTGGGGATTGGAAGGATTTATCTATAACAAACTTATAAGGCAGTGCTCCGCAAACTTTAGTGCCCCGCGATTTACCTGGGCAACTTGTGTTTTTTTAAAAATGCAGATTCTAATTCGGTACGGAATCAAGTGATGCAGATACAACTAGTCCATGAACCATACCTTGAGAAGCAAGAGTGTAGAAGGTATCCATTGGCAGTGTCTCCTGTGTTGGGAGTCAGTGAAGTAAGACCGAAGGAAAAAATGAAATTTCTCAAGCATGGAAAAGTCGTTTAATAAATATTACTTATTAAACAGGCATCTGAGCACTGCCCTAGACATTGTGGAAGTAAAACCTTGTTGCCCTTGAGGAAGTAGTTAGGTATTCTCTTGCATGCAGTTTTGCCACAGAAGTTTCTGTATGACATTGACTTGTTTAAAAGAATCTATTTTCCTGTAGAAACATTCTATACATGACAGTTCCTACTTGGTTTGCCAAAAACGCATTCTTGGTGCCACCCTCTCCCAGTTCTTAATTCAGACCCCAGGAAAAGCTCTGCCTTCCGTATACTGCATTTACTTATTTGCTTTAAATTAAGATGTTCATCTTTACCTCGGTCCCCCTGGGGGGGGGGGGGGGGATAGATTCATGTCTTCATTCTTTCCCTCACATCCTTGAGGCGAGAACAATTTATTTGTTCTCTAACCACTGCCCTTCCCCACCATCCTCAAAGGGGTTTAAATGCTAATGATGTAAAGGAGAAATTGGATTGAAAAGAAATCAGCCTTCTATAGGTCCTTTTGCCTTTTAGTTTTTACTTTAATTTTTTATCATCCCATTCAGGTTGCCAGTGGTGGTCCTTTGGGTATACTGTAATAGGGAGTTAAGAAAGACCTGTATGCATTACAGAGGAAAAGACCTGGTAAGAAGAGACTGAATATTTTTCATCAGAGTTAGGTTGGGCCCAGAAGCCTGGGGGTGTGGAAGATATTGGGGCTTCTGAAGTTTGAGAGAGAGGTTAGTTGGGGAAAAACAGAAGTCCTGGGAGAGAGTGCATGGGCTTTGGAGCCCAACTGGCTCGGCTCAGATCTGAACCTATGAAAGGGTAAGGATGGGCTATGTGTCCTCAGAAGGGTGACCATGTTTGCTCAAGACTGTCCCAGTTTTAAAATGAAGTCCCACATCCCAGGAACCCCCTCAGTCTCAGGCGAACTGGGGTGGTTGGTTACTGTAGTCCTTAGGTTGCTTAATCTTTCAGAGACCATTTTCTCTTCTGAAAAATTGGGATAATGCCATAAGAGATTAGATGAGAACACATAGGAAGCACCTGATTTACAACTGATAATCTTAAGATGATTCTTCTCTGGTGGCTTTACATCATTGTTCCTCTTTGGCACAGTCATTTTTGTGGCTGTGCATCCAGAGTGTGAAGCACAGATAAAGTAGGGCATATGCAAAAGGTGAGAGAAATTCCCCCAAAAGCATGATTTTAAAGAAATAAGTAGAGGGAATGGAGGCAGGAGAGGAGTTGGGAATTTCCTTCCTTACCTACTTTTGGGTTGCCATTTGTACTTTAACATCTCAGATGAATCAGGTGCAAATTTAAGCGTATTTATATTGAAAAAATACAAAACATGTCTAGTGTCTAAGTTGAATACTTAACTACTGGGGTAAGTGCTGGCAGTTATAAGTGAACCAGAACCATAAATGGATGAATCTGGGAGCAATAGTTTATTCTTCTGGTTAAGAGAAGTATGATAGGGTGCCTGGGTGGCTCAGTTGGTTGAGTGTCCAACTTCGGCTCACGGTTCTCATGGTTCTTGCTCATGGTTCGTGAGTTCACGCCCCACGTGGGGCTCACTGCTGTCAGCACAGAGCTGGTTTTGGATCCTCTGTCCCCCTCTGTCTCTGCCCCTTCCCTGCTCATGCTCTCTCTTTCAAGGGTAAATAAAATAAGCATATTAAAAAAAAAAAAGAGGGGCGCCTGGGTGGCGCAGTCGGTTAAGCGTCCGACTTCAGCCAGGTCACGATCTCACGGTCCGTGAGTTCGAGCCCCACGTCGGGCTCTGGGCTGATGGCTCAGAGCCTGGAGCCTGTTTCCGATTCTGTGTCTCCCTCTCTCTCTGCCCCTCCCTCGTTCATGCTCTGTCTCTCTCTGTCCCAAAAATAAATAAACGTTGAAAAAAAAAAAAGATATTAAAGGAAAAAAAAAGAGGAATAAGGAGAAAACATTTTTTTTTCTGGGATTATTCCTCCTGAGCTTCAGCTTAACCTGTTTGGTTGGTAGAGGCCTGGAAACTGAGTTCCTTTTTCTTCTTTCTAAAGCCTTAGCCATTGACCTGTACCTCCAACTTTTAAGACTTGAAAGATTTCTTTTGTGGTCGAAAAAGACACTTACAGAAATACTCTTTTTAAAAATGCTTTTGAAATGTTTATTTATTTTTGAGAGAGACAGAGACAGAACATGAGCAGGGGAAGTGCAGAGGGAGGAAGACACAGAATCTGAAGCAGGCTCCAGGCTCTGAGCTGTCAGCACAGAGCCCAATGTGGGGCTCGAACTCAACAGACCTTGAGATCATGATCTGAGCTGAAGTCGGACGCCCAACCAACTGAGCTACCCGGGTGCCCCCCTTACAGAAATATCCTGAGATTTCTGTAGTAGAAAAGGATAGGTCTATATTGGACATTTTTTTCCCAAAGCTTTAAGAAACACAGACATTGCAAAGCAGCCATATGTTATATATTGGACATTTTTTAAAAAACCGTTTTAGTGTCTTAAAAAAAACTGAAGTGAATGTAGAATTATGTCATGTGCTGCTCCTGCTTTTTCTTTGTTAATCTGCAATACATCTTAAGTGCTGCTGAAATCTTCATACGTATTTTCTCTTTGGAAAATTTTTAGCCTGATCTGAAATGACATGTCTTTTCATTTTTCATCTTCAATCGAAAGCTGGAAAGCTTTATGTTACTTTACTGATAAAATGATATTCTAGACATTTTTATTTGGTAAAAGTGAGATATTGTGTTGAATGTTCCTAATTCCAGACTAGAAATTTTTCAGAGAGTGTGTCTTATGGCAGTGCCCTTTCAGTTAAAATGTTTTGTGAAATGTAACAAAGTCTATATTTGTTAATCTGTTCCTAAGTACTATATATGTATGGTTGGAAGAGCAGAATCTTGTTTGCAGAATTTTTGAAGTTGAATAAAATTATAAACTGAATTCCTTAAATAAAAATACATTTGATTTTTAAATTAAGACTCAACCCTAATCCTATGCTCCATCCTTGTAATGTGTATCCCCATCATACCTAGCTGTATTCCTTTCATACAAGCATTTTACAGTGAGACACCAGCAGAATCATGAAAGCCTCATGTTGCATTTGGTCCATCTTCTCACTAGGGGGCAGCAGTTTCTATTTGAACATTGGGATGGCTTCCTTTACAGAGGTATGACATTTTGCCATGTTAAATACAAGATGTTAATATTAACTAAAGGAAAATCAGTACCTCTCCCCCATTGGTACAACAAACATTTAATGAGTGATTGCATGAAAGATGACATTTTTGTTAGTCACAAGAATTAAGATACACTGTAGGGGTTGGCAAATTATGCTTGAGGGCTAGATATGGTCTGCTGCCCATTTTTACGTGGCCTGCAAGCTAAGAATGATTTTTACTTTTTTATTTTATTATTTTTTAAGTTTTTAAATTTATGTTGAGAGCGGGGGAGGGGCAGAGAGGAGAGAGAGAATCCCAAGCAGACTCTGCATTGTTGGCACAGAACCCAGCAGCATGAATCCATGAACCATGAGATCATGACCTGAGCTGAAATCAAGAGTCGGACGCTAACCCCGATTTTTACTTTTTTAAATGGTTGGGGGGAAAAATCATAAGAATATGGTTTTATGACAGGTGAAAATTATGTGAAACTCTGATTTTAGAGTTTGTAAACAAAGTATTGCAACACAGCTATGCTCGTGTCTGCATTTTGGGCTTGCTTTTGTGCTCCAGTGGCAGAGAGGAGTAGTTGTGACAGGGATGTTAGCCCCACACAACCTAAGATACTCACTGTTTTGACCTTTTACAGAAAGAGTTTGCTGACCCTGATATAGTGCATAAATGAATTACTGTCCTAGATTAGGATAAGATTTATGTACCTAAAAAGGTGACCAGCAAAACCAGGTGAAGAATGAGTGCTGAGTTATTGTTTGGGT